TTTTGAATTTTGGCAGCCGGTTAATTTCAAAACTGCCAACAAATACTAGAAATACAAAACTAAATTTTAAACATCGCCGGGTTTGATGAAACAGCAAAGAACTAAAAACCCACAAAATTTCAAATTCCGTTCAATCGCCATACACAGTTTATGTACATTTAAGTGATTTTTAAAGACAAGTGATAAGTGGTAATTATTTTTGAAAAAAAATTAATACCAAAAAATTTGTTTCTAATCAGGCCAACGCTTTTGTGGGTTAAGTTGGCATACCTGGTACTGTGCACCTCAATGATAAAACTATTGGAATTCTATACAAACAATAGCCAAGTTGTAGATATTTTTGTTTGATTCTAAGAACAACCAGAAATTCATATTTGTGTTAATGGTTTTCATACACAACTTTTATACAGGGTGATTTTTTTTTGTATCGTTGGTCACTCAATATCTCACTGGGTTTGATTAAGAATTTAATTGATTTTTTTTTTCATAGTTTTTTCTTGTATAATGTGATCTCAATAATCCCAGAAAATCGTATCTGGTCTTTTTACACTTTTTTTTTTAAGAATAAACAAAACTATTAAAATGTATTTCTCGTGACCCATTTGGGTACAAGAAATTATAATTTATAATTTTTGGTAATAATTATTACCGAAGTGATTTATAAATATGTAATAATTTTTTATGTTTGTTAAACTATTGCAGCATTGGAGTTGATAGATAAAATGTGTAATCGAGTGACTATTTCTTTTTCCAGTGAAATCGCCTAATAAAACACTTTGGAGTGAATGACACTGTTAAATAGGTATGATAATACATATAATATGTTTAACGTGCAAGTCAATTAAAAGTAGAACGTTAACATAGCTGTTGCATTAAGCCACAATATATATATATATTATAGTTATTTGTTTTGTAACAGACAGGACGATTCCTTTTTCTTTCATGTATAAATAAATTATATATTTGGTTTAGGGATTTTTTTTTTTTGTCTTTCCTGCGACCAATTTTGCGCACTTAGACTACTTGAATTTAATTCACAATTCTAAACTAAACTGGTATCAGAATAGTTATATAATTTACCGTTGAGTTGACAGTATAATGTGAGTTTAACGAGTTCAAATCATGTTTTGGCGTTCCTGTATGCGTACAGGTAATGGACGAGATCAACTGTTACGTTTTATATCTTCCTTGTGTCGAATGAGCAATAGAATATTATGTTTTCGACCACACCGGTTAACGGAACGACCGACGAAGGCAATAAACTAGGTGGAAATAATTTTTATTTATTTTTTCATAATTAACCTATTAAAAAATGTGATTTATTCGTGTTGGTTCGGATTTGTAGTTTTCCAACATTATTACCTAATTGGCCGAATCACGTTGGGTTTACTTTCGGGTGGTTCGCTAGGTAAAGTGTACATCTAAAATAAGTCCTCACTAAAAAAAAAAAGTTGTCCGGCCCAAACGATTGCCACGTTAGAGATAACAAAATAATCTGTAATTTATTATAATTGAAACCGTCTATTTACCTTTGAATCGATGCTAATTCTTATACTAATTCTAATTGTTATATTGGTGCTTTTCGTTTTTGTTCTATTTGCAATATCAATGCGGTTTTTCCAATTAGAAATACCTTCGATTATCTACAAATATGACAGAAATGTAATCAAGGCATCGAAGTTAAAAATAGTGTTTGCGTTTGTAACGAATTTATTGATAAGAAGTTAATAAAACAGTTAATATTTTTATAATATTTTTAGTAATTGTATTCAGTTATATGAATGATATAAAACAAAAATCAACTACACCAATAAAAATATTAGTATGCCATTATAATGGATATGGAAAATATGTTTAAAAATAATGGAATATTTTACATAATTTCAAAAATACAATTTAAACCATATGATAAATGTTATATTTGTCAGAAAAAATATTGGCGTATGGTAAGAAGAACATTTAAGAATCATCAATAAGCAAGAAGTTTTCAAGGTTAAATATGGTAAAGAAACCTTATTGAAAAACAGAAATATTATATTAAGAGTTTTCAAGATAATTAATGAAGTTACTAAAGTAACCGATAATTCAAGACTTGTAATTGGGGAGAAAAGTAAGTTCTTGTATTAGGGTTTCAAATCCTCGATTATACCTCAGCTATAATATTATGGTTTTACTAAAATTCATAAACGGTATGGGTCCTATGTTATCCAAAATTCTTGCCCCAACTTCTTCATCTAAACATTTAGTTGACATTTTTACAAGTCGACTAATAATGAGTCCAATTATTATGCAATAGATATATCACTAACAGTTCAAACTGATATGTTTTTCAATTTCAGAACAGGTTTAAAATGAAGTTATAGTGATGTGGTAAGTGTTTTTCTTTTTTATGACGGAAGTTTTCAAGAGTAGGTTTGAAATAAATATTCAAAATAGTTGAAATAATAATTTGGGTTGTGTACGCAGACCATATTTTAATTCTAGTGGGTGCAATTTTAATATTGATGTCTCTTTTTGAATAGTTAAATTCACTTATGACAAGTATCGGTGGAGATACTAACTAGGCGAGAGAGTGAGATTAAACTCTTCAGACAGTTTATAGAAATGACTGCCTATTGGCTTGCATACAAGTGTGTAGTCAGGTTTTGGGAAGCTCGCTGGGCATTTGTCTTTGTCTAGCACCGCAAAACCTTCTCTCTCGACTAGTTCTATAGTCTGTATAATATCAAGTTCTGTTTCGATCCATCATTTTAACATGGATATGTTATTGGGCTGGATACAAGAAGTTTCATGTCGCCGTTTTTGCGTTATACATTCACTTTCAAGTGATAAGAGATAAGAGATTAGAGATAAGTGATATATATAACGACAAGCGATGAGAGCGTAGTGATAAGAGATAACACAGAAGTGATAAGAGATATAACGGTTTAGTGTTTTTCCTTGGAGCTGAGAAAATAAATAGATTCTTTTTATGATATTTACTGTCATAAACCTTAGCGTTTGCAATGATTGCGCGTTTCTAGTGCCAAACTCGGGGTTCGCGTTAGTCGCTATTCTGCAACACCTATAATGCCGTTCATTTCGATCCATTCGGTTACATTGAAATTATGACGTGTGGCGTTGGGTATTGAAACGTCTGAAATATTATGTTCACGCTGCTGTTGACCCGTCGTGGAAGAACTAAATGCGGCTAATGCCATGGCACCGCTCTCACTTTATTTAGGTAACCGCGATTCGACATAATATTCTAAGTGTGCCAACAGCTGTAATAATTAAAGCGTGTACCCACATGTATAGGTTGGCGTACACCAGAACCAAGATGCAACGTCATGTGCAATCAAACGAGCCGCCTAAGACCAGACCAGACCAGAGATCCAATAATCCCCATTAATAATAATAAATCGCCGGTACAGTTGACTAATAACACTGGGCATACGTAGGTATTGTGATGATCGATACATGTTATGTTTTCCCGGTGACTAGGTTAAAAAGTGAAAAAAAAAATTATGTGTTTACCGTTGCGACACACTGGCCGGTGTCCGCCGTTAGTCATTATTTAAGAGATAGGGTCGACCACAAAGAGCGACACGATTTAAGAGTAATATAATATTGTATTTGTTTCCAATTCGTTCATCTTATTTGAAAAGTCACGTTTGGTTAGATTTCGACAGACGGTTCAGTTCAGACAGAACAGTTCGAGAGACATTTTAAGTGCCCGATAAAAAAAAACGCTTTCTGACCCAAACAATATTGTTATGTTAAAGGTACCTAAAAAAAAATACTCATCTTTGAACTTATTAAGACTTAAGTGTTAAACGAAACAGTTGGCACTACCCGATAAGTAATATTTAAGAATTCGAATTGATATAATATGTTGGTGCTTTTCGTTTACAATAATAATGGGTTTTTTTTCCAATAAGAAACTATTTTGGTTATCTATAGATTTGAAATACGGTACAGCTGCAATCAAGGCATCGAAACTAAAAATAGTGTTTGCATTTATAACAAATAGATTGGTTAGAATTTTGTTTACAACTACTAAAATAATTATTAATATTTTTAGTTTTATAACTAGTTTTAGTGTTATTTTTATATTATATTATTATTATTATTGTTTATATTATAATTGAAACCATTTATTTATCTTTGAAGTCAAGATCTATAAGTATACAGTGAAACGGTAGGCATTAATGAGTAGTGTGTTTGAAACTCTAATTACTATGTTGGTGCTTTTCGTTTTTTTTTTTTTCAATACTATTGGGTTTTTCCAATAAGAACTAAGGTTATCTACAGATTTTAACCGTGGTAGATTTGTGTTCAAGGCACCGAAGCTAAAAATAACTTTTGTAACGAATTTATTGATAAGAAGTATTTTACAATTACAAAAATAATTACTAATATTTTTATTTTTATAATATTTCTAGCTGCTTTTCACAGATTCGGCTGACATACAACGAACATCATATACTAAGCAAAATGTAATAGAAAGATACCTATTACTGTATGACATGGTGTATTTTCCAGACTATTTATGGTTAAACAAATATGGCTAAAAACAATTGGGGGACACTTTAGCCGTTGCTCTAGTCGCAGCTAAAAGAGAAATATAATGGTAGAGGAAGAGGAAAAAAATATGCAATGTGCAAAAATAACGACTTGGCGGTTGTCGGACAAAACGTGAAATAATCGGGGTAAGGTCAGCTTGAAAAAAAAATTACTGCGGGTTTACCGTTTTTTCGACACACTAACCATAGGCATAGGTTACTCATTACTGCGCCAATGGGGTCGACTTAGGTCTAAGATAGTGTTATTTGTATCATTGTATTTGCGCGTGTGTCTTGAGCCGACAAAAGGGTAGGGGTGTCGGTGCTCTCGCACGTGTGCGCTCTGGACGGCTACCTCGTAGTACACACACAACATGATATAAGATGTAAAAAATATTACTATTATTGTATAGGTATATATATATATACCTACCTCCTTACCTGTAATACATTCTCCGCATCCGAATAGTCACACTGGTCGTCGTCGTCGTCGTCCGCCTCTCCAAACACACACATTCATATACTTTTACTTTCATTTATCTCTTTCACTCTGCACACACACACACACAAACCGTGGAATAACGCTGAAGACCGGACAACACCACACACACTACATCTGCTGATACGACGCCGGCGTCATCGTGTGGGCCAGCAAAGTGTGTTTTTTTTTTTTTTTTAATATACCTAATTAAAAAAAACAAAAAAAATTCCAATACAGTCAGCGTGGTGATTTTTTTGCAAATCGATTTTCTTGGAGTACTTTTTTTTTGTCTTTTTCTTCGGCCAGTGTAGTCAGTGCGAAACATCCGCGTGGGACACTTTGAATAGCCGTGCGGAGAAGTCTATTTCGACAATTCAAAATTGGTAAGAATGATGATAGGTTGTACATTTGGGATTTGGGTTAGAGTTTATTTTTGTGGGCAAAACGCGTACAGGTCGCTCGAAGCATTAATAATTGTCAATCAATTTGTTTTCCCACGAAAAAACTTTACTGTTAATATCGTCTCGTCGCCATTGCTGGATTTCTAGCTGGGAAAACCCGAGCTGACTATTATTAGATTTGTCTATTATTAGCCGTCAATCCGTCCGTTTCGGTGGGATTTCCCAAAGCGTTCCACTCGTTATTGCCTATTCGTTTTTAAAACAACCGCCGAGAACCGTCATGTCGGTTAGGCGGTGGTGATTACTGGTTACTGGTTACTGGTTACTGGTTACTGGTTTAAATAGGTATTATCGATATTGTATTTTCGAAATAAGCAATTACAGTAGTGTGTCCGTTTGGGTTTTTTTTTTTTGCGTTCACCGTTGAATTTTTATTATATTATTATTATTATTTTGCCGTTTATATAACGGCGATAATCGCAACGTAAACGCGGTCGTCCGGTTTGGCCGCCGCACTCTTATGCGCATTGTGTAACACCTTGTGTATATTATAAGATACACACTTGCTCGTTGGTGAAGTATAAGAAGTGTAGTCATACCTAGTAGTATTATAGTATTATATGCAACTTTCACCTTCCACCGCGGTCGCAACCGTCATCCTCTCGTTGTAACAACCGTAATGTCTGTACGGCTGCTGCCCAATTAATTATTACATTTTTATTATTATTATTATTATATTTAAAAATAATTTTTAAAAAAAAACTGCAGAATCCTCCTGACGCTAGAACGCTTCAGAAGAAACATTTTCGGTAAACAAATTAGGTAACGTAACGTGTCCAACAGAACCTGTACCTACCTTGCTCATAAAACGTGTTAAGCAAATACATCATTAAATTATTTAAGTCGACCATAAAAACACCAGCTGTAAAAACATTATGCAAAAATCATTAGCCGCATAGTGTTGTATGTACAGGGTGATTCCCGAAGGCGATACTGTTAGTTTTAAAATTTAAAAGTTAGGAAATGGAGTTTAAAAATCTGATAGAGCTCTGGAAAACGCTAAACAAGTTGGGTATTTAGTAATTTTATAATACACAAACGTTTACAACGAGAAAAACTACAAAATTGCAATAATTATTTCAAGAAAAAAAAAATCACTTTCCTCTAAATAATGAAACACCCTGTATATCAAATTGGTTTTTTTTTTTTTTTAATTTTTCCTGCCACTCAACTTAAACGGTAGCCCATTCGAAAAATAACTCCTTTACATTTTAGATGACTAGCTCACTTCTGAGTAATTTTAATTTATCATTAAACACATGCCAACTTGAAAACTGACCAAAATTATATAACACTTGAAAAATCCTTTTTTTGATACGATTTTATTTTTTATTTTTAACAAGTTATCAGTCTTGTCAATTTCAATGGGTTTAACTCAAGAAATTTCAACGAAGCTATTTTAAATCAGTCATAACATTTTCGACTTAACAATTTAATATTTTCAGTTAGTTTTCAAGTTGGAAGTACTTGACTGGGTTAAGATGGTGAAGCAAAACTGTAGGAATTTCTTATTTCAATAGGCTATTATGGACAGGGGTGGTAGGTACCTAAGTAAAGACAACAATGTTTTTTCTTTTCAGACACAGTCATAGATTTAATCTGAACACAGGCGAGTATATTATGTAAAATTTGTGTGTGTATAAAATTTCTATTAAAATGTAACTTTGTGAAATCGTTTAATTTTAATTTGTTCCATTTATTTTAACGCCTGCGTGTGGATGTGTATGTGAATATAATATGTATGGCACGATGCACACTCTATACACACACCGGTGGTTCATATTAGCAATTGTGATGTAACCAAAGAAATGGTCTAAAAATTTAACAGCCATTCCGAAACTATGTTTTACAACTACTTTTCTCACTAACTGCAAGAAGAGTGTGATTTAAATGCTAATGAAAAAAGGGACTTTTTCGTTAATTTATCGTTCAAACATTTGCAATGGACACATTTGTTGTAACAAACGAGTTAATATTAAAAAAAAAAAAAACAATTAAAATGTGCAGTTCTATTTTAGTTTGTGGTGTTATCTTATGATTTAGTCATTTCACTCCGTTCAACCGCATGTTGCTCAGACCGTGAACATCCTTGTCCTCGTGTAACCAACGACAGAATATTCATTAGCTAGAGTGTAGTGTTTTTTTAAAATTAATCAAATATTATAATCATGTCAACCGAAACGGCACCAGACAATACAGCCTATAGTATGTCCTATGCAAAACTATGAAATGAAAATATCTAATACTTGGCACACACAAACTGATCTTACCCCAGAGGAAAAAAAATAATTCATAGTTAACATACTGAAGGGGAACGGAAAGAGCCAACTTTGTAATTGAAGCCTTTCTTAATAACGCCAAGTCATTTTCCAAGGTGTCTACCGAAAAGCTTTCGAATTTATTTTATTTTGTTATCAAGTTAAACATATCCTTTTCTATGGGGGGAAGGGGGTGGCTAAATGAAAGGTGGCTAGATGCGCTAAAAAATTGACTTCTACAAGTAATTTTTGTACCAAACACAACAGAAAAATAACTTGAAAAGTGTTGTGACAAGAAGTACTTAATATTGATTTGCCTTAAAATTAGTCAGCTTATTTAAAATGGCTTTTAGATAAATGTTTGTCAAAAATCGCCATCTCTTGATGACTATATCTTGGGTGAGGTTGTGTTAGACTAGATTAAGTTAGATCAGATCAGATTATGTTAGGTTATGAAAAGGGTAAATACAACTCTTTGGGTCTCAAGAGGACGTCTCATCGATGATTTTTCAATGGTAAAAACATGTTAACGCGCAAAACGGACAAAAGTACATTTCAAAGTGATTTTAGAGATTAAAACAGAACCTGATCATGCGTTCTTCAAAGTATATCAATCAGAAAAAAGTTGCAAAGATTTGAAAAAGTTTTTAAAAAAAATCTACAGGAAATCTTGTCCTCTATCTTTTCTAAGATTTGTGTTATATCTCTGAAATCACTTTGAGGAGTACTTTTTTCTGTTTTGAGTGTTTGGTTGTGATTTCTTTTTGAATCGCCGCTAACAAATGCTGTGAAAAATAAATGAACTACCAAAACAGAGTACTAGTCAGAGTTTAACATTAAGATTTTAGCATAAAACCGCCTATACCCAAATCTAAAACTTGTTTATGCAAAACAATATAATAATTAACGTGCCAATAACGACGGCGGCGTTGAGTAATATTTCCCGCGCGAGAAGGCGCCGTTATATTTATTATGTTAATACTGTTTTTTTTATTTTTACATAACCGGTTTTTTTACATTCTAAGTAAATATAAAAAAAAAAATGGTCTTTCGGTCAAAGACTCGATCGCCGTTTATAGATACACTTTCGCGTGTGCTTCCACCTACATAAACATGTAAGTGGTTTCTTTACAACCGCCCTCGCTGCGGGCAATGTCTTATGATATTATCATCAAGTACACTCATTCTCGCGTGAGCGTACATACATTATGTGTACTTAAGTTATTGGGTTACTAGACCGCGGTCTGGAGATCGTGTCTGAGCATTATGAACAAACAAACAGACAAGAAACACTGAAAAAAAAAAATTTGCTCATAAATAAATAATCGAACCAGACATGTCAGAACGTATCCCCTACTCTTGATGTGCCATCTTGGGGGCTTTCGGTCACTTCCATTCGAACCCTCAGTCCCCTAGTAACATGTAGAACCCGGCACTTCTTCAACTTAGGTAGTCCACCGAAATTCGAGACACCCAACACTAACGTCCCAGACCTCGAAAATCCCAGTATCATCTAAGCCGAGCTATCTACCCAATGCATCCAACTTGGACCATATCATGCTTTAATCGTTCTCCCGATAACGGTTAGGTCGATTTGACTTAGCTGACCTCAGCTCGATAAACTTAAGTTTCCATTACACATTCTCTTTTATTGCTTTCGTTGGCTTTCAAATTTATTCTCCCGTCCTCGGTCGGCCATAAATGTTTATGATGAATAAAGTGCAACAATAAACTATAACGGTAGATTTATATCGATGATGAATGTTGACTATAAAATAATCTTCTTCTTCGCCTTACAAATGACGTCGGCCAGTCAAATCCTCTCTCTTGATTCCTTTGTCAGCCAATCGACTTACCTCAAAAATCTCAAATGCTCTCTCTTAAACTCCATTACTCATTCACATTTCTGTCACTGCTCATTTCCAATTTCAATATCGTTTCAGCCAGCACCATTGTCCTTCCGCCTTTTTCATCTAGTGTCCATCACTCAATTCCCCGACAATCTATCACAAACGGCAGCTTTCTATCGGTCAACGTTCCTCTGTATTTCTCAGTCTTCAACCTAACCCAATCCTTCTGAATAATTGTTTTACACAACTGCTTCACTCTGTTTAGCAGCCGCCCTCAAAAGCACAATTGAGCTCTCTAAATGGCCAAAACCAAAATCTAAGCATTCGGTTTTTGACTTGGACCATAGGGGTTGGGGAAGACAGGGGATGGTATGGACGTGGGGATGCAAGGGCACGTTTGAACAGTGGTGCCAACATACGAATCGACGCTAGCAGATCTAGCGGTTAGCATCGCTGCGATGTCTAACTGCCAACTGTGCCTCTGAACTCGCGTTACCCGTTAGCTTTTCTAAAATCTTAATGCTTTTGTTTGTTTACAGGACTATCGGTGGCGGCGGCGTCACGAGTTTTTGAATAAACGCATGTAGAAAAAGCGTTGTTCAGGTCGGTGAAATCGCCAAATCCGCCAAAGGTATTTCGTTGGAATCCGAACGCCGTCGACGATGAGGCCTCTCCGGAAGGCCGTGCTGGTCACGGTTGCCACCGTAGTCGTAGCCGTGTTACTGGAGACTTGCATTTGTTCGGCAGCAGTGGCTGTGGATCACAGACATTCGGCAAAGACCAGAGCCATATCCGAAGACGCTGGCGACCGCAGTTTGGATTCGACGGTGCACAGCGAACCCGGCGCTCACCGGAGGACCAAGAGAACGCTTTTGAAACTGAAACCAATTGTCAAGGCAATGCTGTTGCCGGCCAAGCTGGTGTTGGGACCCGTCAAAAAGCTGGTCGGTGCAAAAGCGCTGAAAGCCAAAGTCGTCGGTGCCGGAGTAGGACTGAAAGTGGCCAAGGTCGCGGTGAAAGCCGCCACCAGCTTGGGCATCAAGGCGCTCCTGTTGAACTTCTTGTTCCAGGTGAGATCCGACGATAACCTAATGTAACGCAAAAAGGGAGAGGGGAAAGTGTGGGGAAAAGAGGATGAGATAGTGATAAGTGTGCACGAGGTGGTGACGGGATGTTGTCAGGGATAAATCACAGATGTACTTGTGTATATATTGACTTAGATAGCCGTCCAATTTTTGCATTGAAGTCTGACGGTCACATGCAGTTGGGTTACAATGTTTACATTGTGTTATCGATATTTCATTGTGATGTGATAACAGGAATACGCCTTATACCTCTACCACGATTGATAACATATTGTAAACATGTTGATGCAACCGCATATGGCCGCCAGTCTTAACTTAAAACATACATTGAATAAAGTTTAAAAATCCGTTTAAAATTGAAATGCATAGTGTATATATAATATAGCAATGTATATTTATACCTATATAAACCTTTGGGAAAATCGAAAATGTTTGATAAGAGATTAGTGTTAACGGAATCAGCTGATAAGAGATACATGATAAGAAAATCGCCGGCTAAGGAATGTTTAACAGATAATCAGCTGATCATAAGACGTGTAGGATTTTTCAATATACTATAATATGTGCGTCTAAATTTTTTTTTCCTCTAACAGAAAATCAATCAGATAATTGATTTCAAAACAAGACTACTCAGTAATCTAGACCAGAAGAACAGGCAACAGAACGCGCAGTTCTTGTTGCGAAGCCAAGGCGACGGAGGTGCTACGAATGTGTCTCAGGTATACACTTATGTGATATAATAATAATAATAATTTACTAATTTAATGATTTTTATTAAAAAAAATCGACTTAACTACCGAAATCAAACGAAAGCAGTTTAGCGTTATTGTGCTAATAGTTAAGCGTTATGTCATTATTGACATTAAAAAGGAAAACAAAATTAAACTAAAAATGCTTTATTGTATAACGCGTGGTAATATATTAATATTATTATACAACTAACGATAAGAGCTGTTGAATGATTTAAGAAGGTAATAAAACAATTATGTAAGCCGACCGGATTTATTAAGGTCGACTAATTAAATGAAATAATTTATTAGTTATTCAAAAACAATTGGAGCGTCGTCTCCGATGTGCTTAGATAATGATATTAACGCGCTTAATAATTATTACTTAATGACTTCTGAAAACAACTAAGCAACTTGCAGTCTTTTTTTAGACTTGTTAAATTAGAACTGTGGGCTTACCAAACTTCACTAAACCTTTAATGAACTAACTACTAGAAAATGCGATTTTTTTTAAAAATTAAATTAAATTCACCTCACTCGTTTTCGAATGGTCAAACATTACACAAATTTCCAATCGTGTCATTAGCTCTTTCTTCAAACCGGTTACTGAAAATAGTTGTTAAAATTTGTTCAATTAAAATAAGTTTAAATTTGTTAAGCGGACACGTGCGACATTTTTATAATAATATTTATTTATTGGAATACCAAATGATAACGTGTAGGAAGCTGTTATTTTGATAAGAGAGAGTTCTGTTTAAATGAATATAATTCGCAGAAGTAATTGACAAAACATTAAGTAACACAAATTTATTTTTAATTCAAGTAATGGTAAGTTATGAGCAAGATATCCCTATTTGGATTGAATGTCGTTCTGTGTTACTTCTCTTGCACACTGCGCTTTTTCTTGTTTTTTCCTGACTAATAGCTATTTTTGTTTTTCATTTATTTATCATTAGTGTTTTGGGTGTTTTTATATTGGCACCCAATGAAAACGTTTCCTTATCAGCATAGAATTGTATGTATCGTTTCTTTACAAAACAATTTCAGTAAAAAACATACTATGAATATTAATAAAACAAAAACTAATTTTTATCTTATCAGCCTTTTCAGTAATTTCTCCTTATCAACCGCCAGCGTTATCACTATCATAACCCTTATCAGGCCCCGAACACTTTTGTGATATCACGGAATCAACCGCCATGTTTTTGGAGGAATTTTACTATCATTATCTTTTTATATATATATATATATATATATATATAAAAATACACTGATTTTTCCTCCAATACGATGGCGGACTGATTTAGACGGCTGCCCGTGTAATTTGTTATCAGTGTCCATTCTGATCACCTATTCCGTGCTCTTATCACTTGCTCTTATCAATAAACCATAGATATGTTATCAGCTGACTTTATAGAAGTACTTAAACGGTTTGGTCGAGCAAATTTTGAGTTTGCAGTATAATTTAGTTGTTTTTTATGCCTCTGTTACCAACAAAATAATATGACTAAACGAAATTAATCGCTAACAACGATAACCTACTTGATAAATTTTACTTATCGCCACTTTGGGAAGTGACCGGTGTCTCCCGACGGCCATTGCAACTGTTCACAGAGAGAGAGACATAAGTAAATGCGGCCGACTACTTAACTAGCGCCACGCGCGGAAGACAAGACCAAGAAAACCACCGACGGTATATGTTACAGCGTATGTACTTGCATTTTGGTCGTTACCAGAAAAACAAAAAAAAAAACACCATACTTACCACCAGAGAAACTGGAGACGAGAAACAGTAATTATTGCTTGACCGTCACAAAAAAAACACACTCACACACAACTCGGACAACCGTAACAGACCTAGACCTCGGGACCAACGACGCGCCATTGACAATTAAGACACTGATAATTTTGTAAAATTTATTTCCAATATATAATCGACCGTGGTTATTGTTTTGTGGATTTCAGTTGGAAGACGACCAAACAGTGTACTGAAGAAGGGAGGGACACGTCGAGTAACTCTGGTGGTAACTAGATTAAGCATAACAGCAGATGGTAACCGTCCGATCCACGCCAGAAAAATGTCTCAGATCATGTGGCATCACCTTGTAGTGAAATATACCCATACACTTATGTTATACCGACTTGTCGAATCAACTTACCAAGAAACTCAGTAGGCTCTAAATGCGGTCACTGTCCACTTTGAACATTGACTAATCATAAATAATTACTCTAGATCTTAGTATATAATTTTATTTTGTATCGTGCGCGCGTGTCTTGCCAACGGATAATCAAAAAATGTAAATCAAAAAAACCATTAAAATATTAACCGTTTTCTTATATTATAATAATGTGTCTTATGTCACGGGGGTTTTCTCTAGCTACTTTTTAATCATTATTATTATTGTGTACTTATTTTTTTTTTATATTGTATTGTTTATAAAATATATATAGTGCGAATTTTCATTATGGAAATATTTTGTTGTTTTTTTTTTGGGGGGGGGGTTTATTTTTATTGCACTTACATTCAGTTCAAACGGATTGAGTTTTTGATTTTTTTTTCCGACACAGGCGCCATCTGTCAACGGCGACTTGCAAGTGCAAGCACAAGGCGACAACGGCGAAGACGAAGACGACGAACCGGTTTCTTTCAATCCCAACAAGGTGAGCTTGCAGGTGCCCGACCGGTTGTTCGGTCCGAGTTTCACAGCCGTCAACGGTATATCACAGACCATAGGCACCGTCATCCAGGTACGTAGTGTGTCTGTTGGCATAATTGAGTATCAAATATTAAAATCAACTGCGACGAAACCGAAGAGTTTACAGTGACAGTATGAATGTCATCTTAAAAGGCCCATACTAGTTTTGCTTTGCAACAGGTGAACATTTCAACGTTGAAGAGATATTCAGGGCGTTAGTGTCGTTTCAACACTAATCAACCAGAAGGAATATAAGGTTGGAGCGATGGAGGAAGGTGTTGTAGTAAAATAGAACTACGGGCTAAAATTGAATAGTTAGGAGGAGGCTTTAGAAACAAGTAGAGCGTCACAGTTTCGAAAGAATACCCCGATCGATATGATCTCAGGAAAATTACATAAAGATGTAAGGTAAGGAAAGTCGTAAGAAACTTATGATGGACTTTCAGGCCATGTAGAGATGGCGATTCGAGGAAGAGATACGACCAAGAAATCCAGAGTTCTTTCAACGCCCTAATATATTATAGTAAAACAAATTGTAATGAGATGACTGAAATTAGCAGGACATGAATGGCGAAAACGAAGGTCTATAACAGTCTATAATATTCACTAAGGATAACGCAATAGGAACCTCCTCCCCCCCCCCCAAAAAAAATAGAAAAATAGATGTGTTTGAGATCAGTTTTGCAGGAGAAAGGTACAATTGAAGAATATGTGGTCAGTAGAGTAGATCTCTTATCAGCTGATCGTCTTATCAGTAATCCGCACGATCTACACGGAAGATCAAATAGTTTTTTTTTCAATATGGCGGCCACGAGCACGCATATCACGCCTGTAGCTGCTATATTGCTAATTAAATGGCTACGCTTTTTCGTGTAGAGAGTTACCTGGCTCGCTAGGATCCCGGTAACCCAGGAATCCAGGATTTCCTCTTATCACAGTCCCATCCCCTTCCTCTACCGTCCACTTTCCCTACTGTTATCGCACTTCTCCTTTTCCCTGCCAATCTTTTCATCGAGGAATATGATTTTGCGATGATCAATTAGATACTAGGGCTTACTTTACGTACAACCAAAGGACAGAGTTTTTTTTCTAAATTTCTCAAGTTCCTGAGTCTTCTGACAGGTTCATGCGGGAACTTTATTGATATTACTGTTTCCACAGAACACCGCGAGCAGACTGGCGAGGTTCATCGAAGCGCTTAAGCCATTGCTGTGGAAGACTTCCAGACTGACTTCTAGCTCGTCTGGGGCCAAGTCGGGTGACTCCGACTCTGCAGCATCTTCGGACGCGGTGGTCGCCGATTCGTCGGACTTGGACTTTGTGGAGATGGACGCGCTGCCGGTATCCAAAGCATCATCTAAAGTGGTCACCGCCAAAGCTTCGTCTGCCACATCGTCGTAGCCGCACAAAAACCGTAACGAGAGAAGACCAAAACAACCAAAATGAGAGACTTCACACAGAGAGAGAGGCGGAAAATCACAAAAATAGTTTTGCACTGATTGTAATTTGATAAAGTCAAAAAAAAAAATGTTAAAGCCCGTCGCTCGTGTATAATAATTAAATATATATATGTTAAGATATATTATGATACCTACTAAAAAAAAAAAACACCTGTAATATTATTTTTCGATAGCTTAATTATGTACCTGTTATATATATATATATTGTATATTTTTCGCAGTGGTACCAACTGTTTATGTTATAGCGTTTAAGTTTTAGACATAATGTTTATTTTTTATTTTATTACGTTTTATAATGTATTGAATAAACGCGCCTTCCGACACATCTTCTTCAGAGTTGTAAACAGCTAAAAAAACTAGAATTATTTCAAATTATAATGTCCGTACAATGAACACGCTGAACAATTTCAGTATTAATTCGGAGACCAGCTGTTGTGTACCAAAGACAACAGAATTACAAACATTATACACGACTTCTGACTTATCATACAAACTCACAAATAAAAAAACAGTGTCTACTCATGTCTACATGAATAATTAAAAACCAGTACAAACCAAACCAAGTACAGTGTAAACCAGCACTGCAAAAAAGTATATAACAGAAAGTAGTAGTAGTAAATTTTGTATTGGGTATTGTATTGTAGTCCCATACCAGAACGACTTTCTGTCTAATTTTCAAATCTAAACCTCTAAAACTTTGTTTGAAAATGTGAAATAAAGAAAAAAACGTCTTTTCCGTTTAGAAGGGAAACGGTTTATGATATTTTTTTTTTGGTTTGTCAATGTTTATCGATAACACTACGTTTAAAGAATATTCCGTGCAAATTTGGAACTTATTCGGCTAGTTTTGAAAAAAGAATTAGAGTATTGCAATTATTTCAAGTTGAAAAATATGTCCATTTTCAAACGTACAAAAACTCAACACGATAATTTCTTATTAAACACAATTAGATCACTCTAAATAGGTGTCCATAAAAAAATAAGGATGATGTTCAACTTATGTTTACACACCATCTTTATGAAAGCGTTAAAACCAAAACATAAAATGTATATTTGTGATTTCATTTTCACAATACATGAAGTACATAAACTTTCTGTTCTTGACTTCGATAACGAGTCCGACTAAATTTCACTTAACTATCGTCTCTTCAACATAAAAAAATTACATAAATTTAAAGAAAAAAAAATCGTTTGAGAGCTAAACTGCACTTGTTGTCAACGTTCACTTTTGTTTTATGTGGTCAGTCGGTATTGATCTTAGTGAAACGCTTAGTTTTTGAAAAAAAAAACAACTAGTGAGAGCATATTATACAAATTTAGCCAAATTTTTAATTTTCATAATAAAATGTTGTTTTCATAGAAAATGGTCTCCAGTTAAATCTGTCGAATCTGTTAGGGATTTGTATTATTAGATCAATTTAGCTCTCTATCCGAATTATAAACCCTTTATTAAAATTAGGTGTTACAATCTAAAAAAAAGAAAGCTTTTTTAATTTTTTAATTTTGTTTTATATTTTGTACACACATTTAACACACGCTTGCTATCTCACACAAATACACACACACACACAAATAAAATATGTACTCATAATAACATAATTAATAATAATAATAATAGATAATGCTAATTACAATAATTAAAAAAAAAAAACCTACTAAAGAATACAACTTATGTTTGATTATATGATTTCTGCGGAGCGGTACACACTTAAATATATATATATATATATATATATTCATTTAAAATACTTAAAACGAAAATAATAATAATAATAATAAAATAATTTAACACGCTCGGGTCGGCGTAAATAAGTAGCGGGGAAGACGGATTTTTTTTTTTTTACTATTATTATTACTATTTTTTACCTACTAATAATAATAATACTAATATAAATTTTTTATGTACAAACACAATTACAATATAATAATAAAAAGTAATAACGAATAATTAAAAAATATATATAAATATATATATATATATATTAAACGATAATGAGCAAAACGTAATATACAAAATAAAATAATTATATTGCTGTATTAATTGTTTTTTTTTTTTAGTCGCCTAGTGTGGGAAAGGGGGGTAGCCTGTTATACCTGCACCAAAACGTATATTGTTTTACAACGAGTGTTTAATAATAATAATAATACTAATAATACATACAACGCAACAATTATTATAAGGGGGAAAAAAATGATTATCGTCAAAGTAAAGTGTACATAAAAACAAAAAAAAAATTATATAATATGAGCTTATTGTTCTTGTTCTCGTGTGAATATTATGTGTCAATAATATTGTATTATTCATAGTCACCAGGTTGTAGAGTTAAAACTATAATAATAATAATATCGCGTACACGATAATATATCGGTACAAGGGAGAGATGTGTCAGCATAATATTTAATTACGATATAATATATATTATGATCAGGTTTGTTTTCATTTTTCAAGGGGGAGGTGTTGTTCTACTACGAATCGCCACCGACAAAGGCGGGGTTCTGCTTGCCGCCGTTGGCCGAAGATCCGTTTGCGGCCGAGATGGACTTCTTCTTGGCCGCAGCCTTTTCGCCCACGGCGTAATGGGCGGTGCCTTCCAGGGACATCTTCTCCTGTCTGCTGGAATTCCTTACCAGACAAATGCTGGCCAACACCAGAAGTATGGCACCGGCGGAGAAGAGGGCGTACTGCAGGGCGGCTTTGGCGACCGGCGGCGTTTGTGTGGCCAGCCGGAGCAGGTCGGTCACTTCGGTGGGCAGACCGTCGATACCCTGCGAGAAAAGAAAACGAAGAAAAATGTCAACAGGTTTGATTTAACAGACGAGCAACACCCGTATGACCAATTGAACGGGACCGAAAACGGAAGGACAGAGTGGTCGAGGACTTGAGAGAACGTGGAATAGAGAACGGGCAAGAACTCTAGCTGGGGACAAACAACGTGGGAGGCAAGTGGTTGTTGCGGAAAAGGGCTTGAATGGCCTGTAAAACGCATCGAAGAAGAAGAATCATTACCTATTAGTCCTACACACGGACGGGATAACTAAGACAGTCATTTTCACAGCTTTGTGAAAAAAACATTGAGCCGTGGATATCGTTTATCTCTTATCACTTATCTCTTAACATTATCACTTATACCTCATATTTTGTCTCTTATTCCTTATCACTTATCTATTTATCCGATATCCCTTATCACGTATCTCTTGTCTCTTATCTCTAACTGAAAGAATCAGCCGATAAGAGATGACTGACAAGAGACGGAAAATCAGCCGTTCATAAGACAATGACGTGCCGTCGAATAAAGTCAATCAATTTAGCGTCGTTACGGATCTGTCTTATGGTCGAGGAGAGAAGGGAATTGAATAGTGATAAAAATAAATGAGATGGTGATAAGGAAAATTCAGTAATTCCTGGATTACTGACAGGAGCATTAGCTGATAAGAAATGTTTAAAAATAGACAGAAAAGTTATTCTGTAGTTCATTCTTCGAGGGAAACTCACCTCTTCGAACCACATGATTGGGAACACGATGTCGGGGAACGTGGCCACTTGTTTGATGTCCAACACTTGACTGACGGCCAAGTTGATCTGCACCCTAGCCTTGGCTCTCAACGCCACTCCCATTTCCTGTGTAAAAGAAAAACAGACATTCAATTAAACAATCCAAAAGCATTTCAACGTAGGTAATTCCCTAGCTTTAACAAGAAGAATTAAGAGACTTGTATTGGAACTTTTAAATAGTTTAGTTCTTTGTTCATTTACACAAAATATAAGATTAGGTTATTTAGGTTATTTTAGATACCGGAGAGGAAGCAAAACCGATAGCATTTGCCTTCCCGTATGAGGCGATAAAACAAAAAAGCTACTTGAACTTTATTTAGGTCAAGTTAGACTCTAACTGTTAGAGCATCAAGTAAATTTTATCTCAATATAATTTAATGCGTTTTTTATTTATTATTAATATTTTGATTCCTGAAATAATTGAATTACAGCTACCCGAATAACATTTCTATTAAAAAAGTTTACAACAAGATAAATTTGAGCAAAATTATTGTTTTTATAAATAAAATAATTGTATTTAATTTAATTTTAAGCTAACTGGAAAAAAATATAGTTTATCGTTTATTTATGTATTCTAAGTATGAGTTCAGACTATGTTCAAATATTTTAGGCAAGTGGAAAATTATTATTGTCTAAAACTATGTTATTTTTTGTTAGAGAAGGAAAAATCTTTTAAATAAAATACTTTTAACTACGAACAAGTTTGGTCAGTGAATTAAAATTTTAATCATAATCTAACGATTTAAGTTCAATACTATAATTACCGAAAATGACAAGTCAGATTTTAACCTTAAACTGTTAGTATTTTACTCATCTTGTAAGCGCGTTAATGTGCAGCCTTGGACAACACATATATATTTTATTATATACTATGATTAAGTTGTTTTGACGTACCGGTTGGATGTCAATCCAGAATTGATGGAGATCCGGGTCCGGAGGGCTGAGACCTTCGACGGCCGTTCTCAGACGATCTTCGCCCATGTAGAAATGCGGGAACGACAACAAAACTGGCGAGTCTACAAATAAAGTAAAAACAAATATTATTGAATTTTTTCTCCCTGTTAGCTGTGCTTCCAAACACAGCTAACAAATTCAACGTTATAGTTGGTTTTGGAGGGAATATAGAAAGGTTCCCAACAGCCTGTCAAACTAGTCCTACCCTGGCAGTAAATTCAAAACAGAGGAGCGAGGTTGCAATGTTGGGACAAGTCTAGAATGTGATCCCTATAGCTAACTGATTAAATAAAGTGCTTCTCCAAAAATCATTGGTTTGCAGACAATGCGACCATACTATTCCAATATTGCTGTTTGAGTGACAAGCCAAGGGTGTGAGGAAATGGCTATTAATTGATTATTTTATATGATGGACAACTCTTAAGACGTGCCAAAATTGTGATAATGAGTCGTGATTTGTCATAGACACAAATTAATCACTTTCGGTGAAATTAACCAACTGTTTTTTCAGTCTGTCTCGACCCTTTGTTACCTACTACTCGCCCAAACTTTCTCGGCCCATTCTATCTATCTTTAATTTATCTAGCTGACTCTGTTACCTATCCTCGTATACTCAGCCTGGATATCGAGGTCGCTTACCGTATTGGCAAAGACTGACGTTGAACGTGCCGTGAGGCGCACACTGTCCGGCTATAGATTTCGGGGTGGACGAAGGTGTGGTGGAGCTGTTGCCGGATGAAGTACTCGCTGAGGGACAGTAGCACTCGTTTTCGGGGTTCTTGTCCGGATCGGCGAAAGCCTGTTCACTGGGACCGAATCGGTAGCCCATCACTTGTCCATTGGTTTCCACTTGTTTCTTAAAACTGCAAAACGGTTGGAATTTATTTGAGTATTCAATATAAACCGGCAGTGAGGGCATGTTGGGCAGTAGATAAGATGGATGAGTGGAGCGAAAGATAGAATAAGAAATGAATACATGAGGGGGAGTTGCATCAATTGTTGGGGAAATGCGAGAGAATAGGCTGAGACGGTTCGGTCATGTTATGAGAAGAGACGAGGCAGGAGCAGTGAGAGGTGTTATGAAGATGGACGTAGCGGGTAAAAGAGGAAGACCAAAGAGAAAATGGATGGACGGAATAGAGAGATAGCTGTGGGGATAGTTGGGGTGCTTGAACGAGATGCAGAAGACCGAGCTCTGTGGAGGTGTATGACTAGAGTGGCCGACCCCATGTAGTTGGGAGTGTAAAGATAAAGAAGAAGATTCAATATGAACGATACAAGACAATCATGTCATCGGCACTCACACCAACGGAAGTTTGCGGCACATGTCCTTGTCGAAAACGTGCAGGGTGGTGTTCATTGTGATGTGCGGCGGAAACAGAGACCCATCGCTGCCTCCGGACATGCGGTTGCACGCGTCGGTCGTCCAGTGCTGCAGGTGAGTGCGCCCGTTGAATTTGTCCAGAGACGCGAAAAGACTGATGTCCGTGGCTCCGGTAAACACGGTCACGTTGTCCTTGGACGTGCCGTTTTTCTGTGAAACACACAACGCGGGTTTAGAACACATTAGCACTTGATCGCCTTAAGTGGCAAAACAACATTGGTACAACAATCGAGTGCAAACAAAATAAAACAAAACTCGCGGTGTAGTGACTAGAAAACAAACAAACGCAGGTGCATGGGTGACAGCATTGACAAGGCCGACACACAAAACCGTGTGACTGTGACTCGTCGACGAAAATATCCTTCGTCACCGTCTCGATTCGGGCTTCACACATTCGGAAAACGTGGTGGTCGAGTGAGCAAAAAAAAAAAAAACAACAACAAACTCTCGATCTAAGTTTTTCTAACCGGCCTGCCCATGATCGACATGATGCTGGTGTTTTTTGTCCGCTCAAAGAATTCTTCGGTCGGTGGCGCACGCAAATCTTGCTGCGACGCTTGGGCGCCTCTTTTCGGGATTTTTTGCACGTGAATCGATCCGGAATGCGATTTGCCGGCGTTTTTCTTTAATGCAATCGCGTCTTTCGACCAAGTCGATACCAAATGGTAACCCGCGTCCAGAATACCGTCGATGAAACCGTTGTTCGGGTTCTCCAACAATCGGTCCAAGTCCAAGTGTTCCAATAGACCGGCTATCGTGTGCACGCGGTACGTGTCCACGATCCACTGGAGCTAATTAACAACAAACAGGGCAGCGACCGAGCTAATTAAACCAAATCTGGCCCATGACTAGATCCATATTACAGTAATATATTCACACAGTTCTGCACCGACCGTATAATAACGTCATAATATATGGACAACAACAACCATATTGAGTTTGAAAATATCGCACGGATATCCTAAACGGGCAAACAGGATCAATTAAAATAGCCTTACCCCGTAGAGCAGACCGAACTCTTCGTACGGCAGCTTTTGTTCCTTGGGCACGACGTCTTTGGCGAGCTTCAACAGCGGATCCTCGTATCCCCACAGCAGCTGTCCGACAGAGACTTCGACGAAAGGTTTCACTTTCAATATGTCCATGATGCTGGCCATGGCTAACCTCAAAAACCTGGCCGCGTGTTTACTCTGCGACGTGGCGCTCTGTGGAAACATAAGGCGATTAGCAGTGCAACAGTAATTACCAACTACAACAGCAGCCCTAATACTCCGTTCATTTCGCATTCCTTAAATATATTTGGACTAATGACTCCAAAATCAACTTGCTTAATACTCTAAACGTCCAAACGTTATGGTACAACTATATGAATCGGTCTATCAACGTTTTCTTGCAACGATAATGCCCTATATCTCAAGAAGTTTTATGGGATCCCTACCGAATCAACTAGGATTCTCGTTTAGGTGCTTGAATGTAGGAGTCTTCGCGTTATTTCTAGAAACAGCACAAAAAGTTGTTGTGCCTACGATATAAATTGAATTGAATTGGTTTCACAAAAATGGCCGAATTCAAATTGAGAAATCTCTCTAAGAGAGTCACGTTCATTGGTCCTTTCTGCAAGGAATCGTTGGGAACTTTTTTTAGGATTCCAGAATTTAGAACCAGAATTTCAGTCCCCCGTAGTTCAAAGTTACAACAGCAAAGTTTCTACGTTTCTAGAGCAACTATGATAGACCAATTAATCTGCATAGATGATTTCTCTCCGAGCTCATTCTCTCTCGTTTTACTGACAATTCAATTTTTCTTGGCAACCTTCTCAACCTCCTTTTAGATCTCCTCAAGTCAGACGACCTTTGCTCAGATTTTGGCTGAACATTTTAAGCGCATACTTACCAACATGGGGATGTTGGGTACGACGACCATATCGTCTTCGGAACCGGCGCTCTGATCGGGGTCGAACACATACGTCTTGCGTTGGTTGTACGTCAACGTGCCGTTGGGGTGAAACGTCAAGTTGACCTTTTCCCACGTCTCTCTGTATATACAACCGGGTAACCGGGCACATTAGTAATAGAACCACAAGTAAGTAGAGGAGGACAATTGTTCGGGCAATGTATGTACTTACACGTAGACGAACGGGCCGAGTTCGTCGAGCACTGGCTTTTCCCGTTTACCGTCTGGACCGACGTTTAAGAATTCGTCGGCGTTTGTGACGTTGTATATGTACACTTTGATCACAGGGTGTACGGGCGGTTTCCGCCACATTTCAAACGTCTGTCCGCCGGGCCTCAGTGTGATTTGCTACAAAGAAAATTTCAAGAAAAAAAAAAAATTTAAATCCAAACGGCTCGACGAGTTAGCGGTGATAACAACAGCGGCTACTATGTATAAGGAACATCCTTGGCCGTGATTGATGGCTAATTAGTAAAAATATTTGTCGCGGTTTATCGGGCAAGAAGGTAAACCGGCTGTTTTGTAACAGGTTTGTTTTTACCGGTAATTGAATTAACGGCCAAGTTAAAATCCAGATGTGCTCATCCGTATTACGGCCAGAGGATATAATATATGATATTATATTGTTATTATTTATTTAATTTTGTACATATGCCATCCTATTACAATGCGAAACAACGAGCATAATAGATTTAGTGTTTTTACAAAGGTCAGATTGAGTGAAGAGGCCTGCCAGAGGAGTAACTTGGACAGAGTTAATTAATGATATTATTAAAATTTTTTTTTTTTTGAGAAGTTGCCAGGAATAGCTATTGATGGTAGTTTAGAGGCGAGAGGTTTGGAAATTTCAGTCACAGTAGACATGTTTGGGTGTATGTGAATGGAGGATTGGAAAGCTAATATAGGGTTTTACAAATGGTGCCTAGGACTTTGGACTGGAATCGCTGGATACAGAAATTTGTAGGGTAACAGGTCCGATAAAACGAACATTGTGTGATTGTACTTACGTCGTCGATGACCAGGTTGACTAGCGAAGTGAAACATCCCAGCACTAAGAATCCGGCGATGAGCAGGCCCAAGGCGACCACGATGACCACCCCTAGAAAACAAAAAGACACTGATGAGCTCTTGCGGTCCAGGTTCTTGGAAAGGGTGTCCAAAGATACACGTATGTTTTGATCGGGTAACATTATTTTGGACTTTTAATAATTGGAAAATAAGGTTGAACGGTAAGTATAGGTAAATGAGGACGATGTGTGTGTGTGTGGCCGGCCGGCCAGCGTACAGGTAGAATGCAATTTTTTTACAGTGCCGTCCGTGTAATAATGATGTTGCTGTTATTATTATTATTGTCGTCGGTATCCGAATGTAAAAAAATACTATCGAGATAACCTTCTGCGATCGAATTCTATGTGTATTGTAATATTTATTATTAATAATCGCTGTGGAACGGCCGCCACCGGAAACAAACGCAGGATATAATATTGTATAGGATTTTTCGAGAATTTCTTTTTTTCAGCTACCGCGTGCTGTGTATTAAATATGAAAAAAAATATTTTGAATTTATAAAAACGTCGGAATACATCAGCAGTCGTTCATACACACCACACACCGTAATAATATAATATTGTCAACAAAATAATATCATATTGACGGACAGCGCAGCAGCTGTTTTATAGCGGCTGCAATTCAGCCGAATAATGATCATTATTCGTTGTGATCATTGTTCGTTTATCGTTTGTAATAATAATAATTATCGTTTACGATTCGACGGTTGTTGTTATTATTATGTACATATAATAAAAATAAATTAAATAAATTAGCCAAGACGGAATTCGTTGGCCTATGACGTCACCGAGGTCCGATTGCAATTTTAATTTTTGTTCGTTTATGTACAATTATTATTATTTTTTAGTGTCCAGTATGAAGTCGCACCAAACAGTGGAGTTGTATATTATATATATGTACTTTAGTTTTATATTTTGTATCTTCTTTACAAATCTTTCTAACTAAGCTTAGAATCAACTTTCTATCTATTATGTTTTTAAGAGAAAATGAAAATCAAGCGTTTAGACATTTTTCAAATTCAAATCATATTATACCGCATGGGTGTGAAATCCATTCGATCTGTACATTAAACTATCTATCTGTATGATATATTATCTTGTAAACTAAGACAGATATCTATCTTCTCACTATTAGTGTGTGGTCTTCATTTTGTTTTTTTTTTTACTATTCAAAAAGTTATCAACATTCAAACTCTTTTTCATTTCAATTACCGTACTATTTGATTTATTTAAAAATCAAAAAGAGAAAACATGCTGACTATGGTTAAAAGTGTTATATTTAAAGCTATTTCTGAACGTTCGGCTTAAGTCATACACAGAAGATTGATAGAAAGCTACAAATTTGTACTCTTTATTATAATTATTAAGGACATAGGATAATACTAATATGAAAAAATAAATAATTATTTATAGAAAAGGAGAATGAGACTATCTGAATTGGACTATATCAAAGAAGAAATAATTGAGAGAACAGCTAAATAATTATAAATTAATTTAAAATCAAAATCAAATGCTTTAAATGTCGTATCAATTAAATTAAAACCAATGAAACTAAAATCACAACCAAACCACTTGGGTCGACTTGGAAAAAAGCGTATATTATATAATACAACTTTTTTATTTCAAACCAACAACAATAATTGTTTTTTTACATGTCTAAAATAATTTACAACGCAGTTTAAAATTAATACATTTTTTTCCTCGAATAAATTAATTTTATTTCATTGTTTAATTAATTATTGGTGTTCATTTAAAATCGTCAAGAAATTAAAATTGTAAATGACTTGGAAAACAATACATTTCTTAATTAATTGATGTGGAAAAAAAACCTAAGACAGTTAATTCAAACCACCGTGGTTAAGACCTTATAGTAAACAGTTTAAATATCTTTATTCACCAGTAACTTGAGTATAATGATCATAAATAAGGAATATAAAGATTTAGCAGCAGTTTGTATTAAATCTCGTTCACAATAGATTGAAATCCAATTTATAGTTTTTTACACTAACTAAACATAACTAAACGTTTTATCGGTTTTTATTCGAAAAAATATATTTTTAGTTTTTCTAAAATCAAAAACAAATTTTGAGCGTTAAAAATGGGATTATTTTTTTCCCCAAATAGTATTGAATTAGTTTTTTTAAGACTTTATTGGCATATAACTTTACTAATTTATCTTCATAAATAGATCCATAACTTATTTCTTAACTAATCAACGTGTGAACGTCAGCAAATGGGTTTTTTTCTTTTAAAAATCAAGAACCCGGTCAACTAGATGATTTAAAATAAGATTTTTGACTTTTAAGTCGATACAAATGATAATAATTATCGTCGACCGTCGCCGAATATATTAGGTATGATAATATATGTCAAAATTACTGTTATTCGGAATAGCCTCTAGTAACGTGTTTTAGTTTATAGGTCACTATTTAAAACCGTTGATTTCCTAACGTTATCTCCTGAATTGAAACGCAAAGTTCTTCTTTGAAAAAACGGATTCTTCCCAACACATTCCCAACATTGTAATTTAAATAGTAATTTTGATACGCTTATTAAGTTAAATATATCATATACTTAATTCATAATATTGTATCTATATATTATAACACTGTATTTATACCCCTATGAGGTGTCACTTGTAAATAAAAAAATAAAAAAAATACTAGCCTTAATATATAGACAGAGTTGTGCAAATTCTTATTCCAATATTTTTTTTTAGAATTCAAAACTTTATTGGAATAATTTGTTTTAACAATTTATAAAACATATCATTTATATTGTATTTATTTCAATTAATGTTTCACAAAATGCTTACTTAAGAAAAAAACACTTAAAAACTATTTAAATATGTGTTAACATTTTTTTAAAAAAAATGAACTTGAAATTATTCGAATAACTTTTATTCAAATGGCGCACAGATTAAATAAAATCAGGTAGTAAATACAGAAGTTAACTTTATAGTATTACAACAGATTTTCAAATAACGGGTTTCGATTGGCTTAAACTCAATGCAGTAGGGCCAACTATAGCGCCGAAAATATTGTACACATAATTTACAATAATAACGTTAATTGATAAGAAATACTGATAATAAGTAATTGAATATCGACGGTTGGTGCGGTGATGTGATCAAATATTTCATTGACCACACTGCAAAACGAAAGACAAACATTTTTTCATTTATCGGTCACACTGATCTGAGATTATTAAAGTTTGTTTACATTTTTTTTTTGCTATTTTTAGAGTGCACTATATGATTTTTTTTTCAGGAATCTATGGTAATATTTTTAATAATTTCCAACGCGCAACCGAGGTGTGATAAAAGGAAACAGCCCGCCTTCACGGGTCGTCTGAACAAATCGTCTATCCGATACGGTTAACAGACAATTAGAAGAAAAAAAAAAACAACAATTATAACGAACATTGTCGTGAATCCGGTCAGGAAATTGATTTTTTTTTTTTAGACCCTCGAAAGACAATCTAGGAAGGAGAAGGCGAGAGGTAAACGATTTTTTCCCCCTCGATCGATGGCCGGGAAACATCCTTGCCACGGCCGTGATACGTGACGGCCAAGCAGCACTTGTTCGCTTCCGATTTTCGAAGACGGCAAAGAGAGAAAAATAAAAAATAACACTACTAGGTACTACCGCCATATCAAAGGACAACACAGTATAATAGTGTTTTACAGCAGCTGTTACAATTAGTACAATCATTTAGACAGTCACGATTGGCAATCCGGAAACGGTTCGGGTACGACAACAATGCAGCCAACATGCGGAAAAAGGCCAACACGCGCGCGTTCAGTCGTCGTTTCCTGCACACGCACAATCGTCTCAATCGATTATCATCAGAAATAATAATAATAGGCGAGAATTTGTTTTCAATATTATACTAAAGACCAAAATACGATTGTCAATGAGATGCGAGTTGGAGTTAATTAAACGGCGGAAAAAAATAGCCACAGTGTGACCACTCTGAATAAAAATAAATACTTTGTTTGGAAACACTGCACCGTACAATTCTTACGTACAGATCAATAGGTAAATTCGAATTACCTATTGCAACATGACAATGTGATAATATTATAACCGCATTGTTGCGGTAGTGAAACAAATAAAAAAAAATATGCACTAGACAAATGTAATTTTGCCATTTTGGTCACACTGCAAATTATCACTTATTGCAAATTGCAAAGAAATAATATTGTAAGAGTTCCACAAGCCAATATAATCCACCACTCCAGATTAAATTTATTCACAATAAGTGTTTTCTTATCAATTCATGTTAACATATTTTATGAACCGTTACTTGACATCGAAACGGCCAATTCAATCACTAGACTATAAACTAGATTCATAATACTGCGATTAACATTTAATTACCGTATACATAACTTATTAGTTTCCGAATAAACCGTATGAAAAAATTGGGGTCAATATTGTTTTATTACTAATTAACAGGAAATAATAAAAAACAAATAAAAATTTTACATCCATTAACTACACGTTTTGTTGGTAGTTATATTTATTAGTGTTTCATTTCAATTGACTATGATAAAATAATAAATTCAGTTGATAAAGCATTCGGTGAAAGGAGGAAGAGTGTTAAAGCGAAGAATATATACGGATTAGGATTGAAATTCGACGTTAATGTATATTTTGTGCATATATTTTATTGTAATACCTATCTAAGATGTCCCTTACCAAGGCAACTATAAGGAGCTGACGAATTAGTAGAGTTTATTTCTACATTTAAAAAAACCAAAGTAATAACTCGATTATTTTTTTAATTGTAATTTTTTAGCCTAAATTATTTTTTAATAGTCCGGATTTAATGCTCAGAATATATACACAGTTGAAAATAAGTTTTCCCATAAATGCATTAATTTTCATTAATTCTATTGTTTTAGTAATCTAATGTATTCATATAAAACTGGGTAAACTATTGAAAATGTAAATAACTGGAAAACAATACCCAAGGAAGTAAAGTTATTATTAAAAAGAAAATAATAAATTCAAAAAGTCTTAATATT